GGAAAGAGAAAGGGGAGAGAGTTTTGTTGGTTTTGAAAATGATTTTCAATGTAGAAGCGTGTATTTAGCGGATTTTGTATAACAAAAATTTTCACAAAACTTTGAGACACTCTATAGATTACATTAATTTATGCATGAATAAATTAATTTATTTACCTAGCGAACGATTAGGTCAATAACTTGAGTTCTCTGGTCACGAAAGTTCCTCGCTCCAAGCTTGCTTAGAATATCCGAATCTTCCTCGTCAATTTCTTAAATCTACGAAGACGTATGTGTGGTCAGCCTGAAACAAAACGGGATTAGCAAGAAAACTCTCAAGTTTTTCAGGAACACTAACACATGCACGACGTGGAATTTGAGAGAAAATTTTTCCTTTCCTCACTCTATAAAATCCGGCCACCTATGCTAGGGAGAGCAAAAATTTTGTTCTCCAATTTTCTGTAATCTCCTATTTATAGAGTAGTAGTCAGACTGCCAAAATAAGTCTAAACTTTATCTCCAAGATAAAGCTTGATAATTATCTCCTACTTCTAATTGATTTTAGAAACAAAATCCACTCTCTCTGTTATCCCATATGGCCGGCCACCACAAAGAGATTCCTCCCTGTGATAGGCACAAATAACATGTAGGAAGAAGGTAAATTTTTGTTTTTATCCTACAATCTAATTTTGACTCAAATTCAAATTTTAATTTAAGTCAAACTTAATTTAATTTCAATTTCAATTGGACAACTTATCAAATAAATCAATTGGATAACTTAGAGAGCAAGCAACTGAATCCCAGAGGGATTCACACTGCATATGGCATGTACACTATGTGGGCACCTCTACATGTATGTTCCAAAATTCAAATTTAAATAATCACATTATTTAATTTATAATTAATTCTCAATTTATTATTCTTGAGCGTTTTTATTTTAGAATTCTATAATTCTAAAATTCCCATTTTACCCTTAATGTCTTGTAGGATTACAAGGACGATGCGAAGACTCATGGACCAATAATTCTGAGCTCCAATAAAATAAAAAAATTAATTAAAACTCTTTAATTAATTAATTCTATTAATTTCAAAAGTTATTCCAATATACACTTGGAATTACACTCTCGTAATTATATATATAAATTACTTCTAAACTGTGAAGTGTCTATTTGATATAATCATTACATATAGATCAATCATCCATAAATAATTCATAATTAGAGTTAAGTGAAATCCGTTAACCTCTCTAATTACATCTTTATCCTTGAGTACCATTGATTCTCTAATGGACAGTAATTTATAAAACAAATTCATGAATCTGAACTTTTACTAGTCCAAGTACCGAATCAACTCTCAAGAAAATTATTTATCTACTTATTTCTCAATAAGGAATGGATTTCATCTCGTATAATAATATTCACGGCTACTCACTTCATCATGCCTCCAAATTACAAGGAATAGGATTCAACATCTCAAAATCCGTACCGAGTAAATTAAAAGACACAAATTCATAAATAGGAGTATGCTAATAACTCAGGATTAAGATGATTATATATATGACCATCGGTAGATGCAATTAGAATTTCTATACTTAACGAAAACTATCATAAATTTATATTGTGTTTGTCTGGTTCCACATAATCTCATTATGCGTAATACACTCATTCAATATCTTGTCATATTAACAATGCGAATAACATCGTTCCATTCTAAATAGGAATGACATGTATTAGTAATTTTTTAATTAAAGATTCCGATTTTTAATTCAATTCATTACGAACATTATTTTAATTATTATCCTTAAATACTATCTTCTCGCATATAACACTTATACATAATATTTAAGGTCACATAAATAATCATAGAATTTTCAGTGATATTCATAAAATATTCAATAATATATGCACATAAAGTGATAAATAAATTTTTTTATTAAATACATAATAAATATCATATTGCATTTCATGTTTCTAAGACATGATTCCCAACAAGAACGTATTGAGAGAGAGAGGCATGGGAGAGAGTGAAAACATGTTGACTGTTGAGGGAGAGAGAAGAGAGAGAACTTTTAGGGTTTTTAATTTTAGGGGAGTTCTTAGAGTTGTTTTTTTTTTCTTTGAGTATGGAATTTAAGTTAAAAATAATTATGTTATTTAATATTTGAAGTTTAAAATGTCTGTTATATGTTACAAATTTTCCTCAGAAAGAATTAGGTAAACTACCTTCGTTTAGTCGCTTTTAAAAATAAATGGCCAAAACATTTAAATTTTACAATAGTCGAGCTTTTTATTTTTTTATGAAAATAAATATTTTCTATGATAATTAATCAGTGATAAATTATGGTTAATTAATAATAAATTTAAGTTATTCCGTAATAAATTATTGAGTTAATCAATAGTAAATTAAAGTTAATAATTTTATAAAACTGAGGCCGTTTACCCAAAAAAAAAAAAAAAAAAAAACCTCAAAAAATGGTCATTTACCCCAAATCCATATAAATTTTTGGTCACAACTGTAGGCTTCAAGCAATAGCATCAATCTCGTAGGGAGATCTCGCGGCAGCGAGGATCGTGGTTTTACAGCTACGACGCACGGCTTCTCTAAGTGGTCTTGGCGGTAGAGGGGGCAAAGCCAATGACAAAAGGGTGAAAAGGGAGAGGGATATAATCTCAATTTTTAAAACCACACAGAGAAAAAATATATATATATATATGTTATATATATAATACATTATACTAATCGCAAATATCAACCCATACGGAAAAAGTGTCGAAGCCCCTAATTATTACCTTTATCTAGTCTAGCAACAAAAAATGGTGGTGTATGTGAGATGTATTTATCAGCTAAGCTTGAGAGAGCCATCAACTTTGAGTATCTTTGTATATTTTTTGTTATGAGATGTTTATGGTTTTATATCTTGCATTTTGATTTGATAAAAAAATATATCATATACTTTGGATGTTATCAAGATTACACTTCCGAGTTTCAAATTCATGTCAAATTTGTACTTTTGTTGGGTCAATAACTTATTTTAATCCCTAAATTTGTCCAACTTACCATTTGTAACTTGGGAATAATCCGGTAATCAAACACTAGTTGACAAATTAATCATTTGGAGTTTAGCTTGAAAATACAATTTTTACTGTTTTCTAAACATAATGTCCTTAAACTACGTGTTTGCTTTCCAAGTTTACACCCATAGTCCGTCAGTTTTTGTTTCGCATATTGAGGACCTGTTTAATTCGCTGATTCGAGTTGTGATGTGATTTTACGTGAGAGTTTTTTTACTGTAGTAAAAAAAATAAATGTGACTGTTTATGAAAGTTTTTTACTATAATAAAACTCAAATTTTAAATTTAAATTAGTGAAATAAACAATACCATAAGAAAAAAAATATTTAGCAAACTCCGTTTACCCCCTTGGCCACCTTCCGCAACTAGTTTCTTGATCGGTATGAAAATTCAGCATTTCCCACCCACTTTTTTGGGCCAAAGTACTCTTTATCTCTCCAATGATTAAATTAACTATTAGAATATATTAATTATTAAGAGATATTAGCGTGATCAAAGTGAAGATAATTTTTTCTTAATAAGTTAATTTTATTAAAGTGAATTAGACTCAATATTCTTTAATTTCTTACCGAATGTTATAATATTAAGTCTTGAAAATTCAGCATTTCCCACCCACTTTTTTGGGCCAAAGTACTCTTTATCTCTCCAATGATTAAATTAACTATTAGAAGATATTAATTATTAAGAGATATTAGCATGATCAAAGTGTGTGAGAATAATTTTCTCTTAACAAGTTAATTTTATTAAAATGAGTTAGACTTAATATTTTTTAATTTCTAACCCAATTTTATAATATTAAATTCTTTAATATCCACTTATTCACACCGATTTAATATTATTCTCACGTACATATCCACACTGTACGTGAAAAGAGAAGGCAAGGCGTATTAAAATCTCACATATATCCTTTGTTTTCTTTAAAGTTAACCTCCAATAATGATTCGGGAGAACAGGTGAAATAAGTCTGAATTACTTCTTTTTTTTTTTTTTTTTTTTGCTTGAAAGTCTGAATTACTTTTGGAAACACAGCCAATGGACCATCTGAACCCAAAAAGACGCACTAGCATTTTTCTGCTGAACTAAGACAAACATTTCAAACTAGAAACCATTATCTATTTCACCTTGCATTACATTCCTCTAAAATACATTATTCTAAAAATACATACATAAATATATATTTATGTACTCCTCTATGCCTTTTAACAGGTCCCACAACCCACTAAACCAAAAATGAGAGAGCCCCACTAAGAAAGTGCTTCCATCATTTCCCACTAACCCCACCCATTGATACAAAAAAGAAGAGCATATCAAGTGAGCTTTGACAATTCTCCTCCTTTTACTTGGACTTTGGCTAGGCATGAAGGGCCTGCTTACATTTTTTAGAGCATTGACATCGAACCCTGTTTTGAAAAAAGAAGTCGAAAGAAAGGAAAAGGCAACAACTATGGCATCTGACATTGATTGCATTTTGAAGCAACTAAATATGGGGGTTGGAACGGGACATATAAGACATGGGACCAGGAAGTATCCAGTGAAATTTTTTTATGTTTTTCCTTTTTTTTTTTTTTTTTTTGCCCCGTCTTTTTCTTTGGAACCAAAAGAAATGCAGAACCTGTTAAAGAGGACTAGGAAGGGGGGTTTGTTTCAGGCTTGACGACACTGGAGGTGTCGGGTGGCTGGGAATGGTAGATTGCTGAAGCGAGTGAGATGGGCATGATGCAAAGAGCCTTTGATTGAAGGAACTGCATAGCAGCCCCGACATTTTCTTCCATAAGCTTAGCAACCTGTCGTTCCGTGCCATCGTTAGACCACTTCTCCCATGCCGGTTGATTTCTCCCACCTTCGCTGCCCTCTTCCTGAAGTGAAAAGAAGCAGCATCAGCCATTAGGTTTTGGAAGGACTATGGAAGGAAATAACTTAAAGAAAAATACATAAATCTTTTCATATTTAACACCTCAACAGATGATAGTGGAATGTCCGTTACAAGTGGTGCTACCGCACCAGCTCCGCCCAATCTACTCATGCTCAAAACCTGTAAAGCAGAAAAGTAAAATATTCAAAAAAGAACAAAGCACCTTTCTTTTGCTGAAATGATTATCAGATTGACCCTAAGCCCCCATCTCTATCCTGTCCTACCTTCTCACAAATCAGAAAACGCATTTCCCACTTGTTTGACCAATCACTGGAGATAAATTACAGAAAAGGAAAAAAAAAATTCTCTATAATGTTGTACAGGCATAACTAAATTGAAACCAAATTGAGCAAGGATAATGAACCTTATATGCCCCATCCGGTTTAGTTTACCTTGTTTTCAGTGGAGAGTGAAGTTGCATGATTTTAGAAACGGATAGCATTGGTATGATTCATTAAGTTGATAATACACAAAAATGAGGTAGTGAATAAATACAATTTTAAAGGGGTTATCAACAGGACCGGAAGCTACTCCTATTCTCACATTTGTAGCTTAGTTATTCTAGGAAGTAACGCCCCTATAACAAGGCTTCATAGTATCTATGAGCATCGCAACATAACATGCATGTGATGAGGAAAAAAAAAATCACCTTTACTTGAAGCCTTAGGAACTTCACATAATCCACGATTTCATCAAGCATGGCAGCTCTATCCGTCTGAACAAACAATAGGGATGTAAAAATTTAAACTAGGGGAAACAGAAATATTTACTGAATAAAAAAGACTACTGCAGTTGACTTCTCCAAACCATCACTATCTAACAGCTTCTACAAATCATCAACATTTCAACCACGTTCACAGAGAGATATATCACACAAACACGCGTTGAATAGGAATATAAAACCAGTATCAATAATGTGAATTGTGAGCGTGGGAGTGTAAGTTTATCATCAAAAAAATATCTTCTCATGTCCCCACCACTGACAAGTTGCAAAAGTTCCAAGTATGTAATTAACCAAATTGGCTAATGAAGAATAGTTCACCACAAGTCAGATGAAGCATGCTATTAGGTCAATCTCATTATAGCCGCTGTTTTAATAAGTCAATCACCACTAAGAAAGTCAAACTGTAGCATCAGATATATGGATGGACCTTTCCTTATTACTTGTCCAACTTGGCGGAAAGCTTGGGAAGCTGGAAATAGGTATATTGTAACAATGATAGTTTCAAATAGGTTAATAGTCTCAAAAGTAATAAGGAAGAAAGTCCTACTGAGTCCCACAAGAGACCATTTTGAGGTAGAGAGTAATTTTGAAAGTAACGAAGTGCCAAAGCAAAGTAAACAGCTCCTTGACTAATATTTGTGAGTAAAGGAAACACCCAATAAGGCCATATAAACAAAGATTTTCATCCGGGCCTTAAAAGTTTTGTTTTTCTCCAGATTGCATTCCACAAGAGTTCAAGTTAACAAAGAAAGGTGGGTTCTTTGGGATTCAGTGAGAAAACAAATCCATTCTGTGAGTATCAGTAAGGATAAAAGACATAGAAAGGAAAGTCATTTGCCTTGTTGACGCTAGGAACAAGCTCCTGCAATGCCCTGATCCGTTCCGCTATTCTTTCTCGGCGCAACTGCACCATAAAGTGAAAAACAAGAATGATTCCATGATACACCTAAGGGAAAGGAAAGGAATGAACACAAGAAATAAAAGTCAACAATATCAAATCAGAGCCTGGATACTGTTTCCAAAAAATCTCCACGGTCTGTTATCTTGTATCAAGCTCACCCGCTCAGCGATGCTGTGAGGATCTGTGGCCTGTCCTCTTCTGGCCCGAACTCTTGGTCGCATTGCTGGCGGATGTGGGGCAATTGTAGCAGGAATTGGTTGGCCATGGTACACCTGCATAAACCCAGAACTTTCATGATTTTCATCACCAAGAACAACTTCCACTGAACACCGTAACTTTTGAAATAATACTACATCCTATCCCGTGGCCCAATTAAAAAAATAAATAAATAAATTAAAGGAGGGCAAACTTATTTTCAGACATTTAGCAGATTCACATTCAAGAAGACCCTAATTCATATTAACTAAAAAAAAAAAAAAATGTAAATACAGTTCTAAACCGTTGAATCATATTTCACCTATCTCACAGATAGATATTATGAAACTCGTATGTAAAGAGAGAAAGCAACAGATAAAGCATTTGAACTTTGCAGTGAAATTACATTCACTAATCACTTGCAAACCTATAACTTTTTACATGCTTCGTTCTGCTCTCCAGTCTCATCCCATTTTCCCCGTTTTCCTCTCTAAAATGCCTTTTTTTAGTTTTTTTTTCTTCCTCTCAATTCAATTCTACATCAAACCTCTTACAAACGTCGAATCACTTGTCTTCTTTCTTCTTACTCTCTCTCTCTCTCTCTCTCTCTGCTTTATCACTAACCAAAAAAAAAAAAAAAAAAATCAAACAAAAAAAGAAAAACCTCACTCACAACACCAGTTAGCTCCTCGCTCAATTTCAATACAGCCTCGCTGATTCAAAAGCAAGAAATGAAACATAAACACAATTAAGAAAGTATTTTTGAAAATTTCATTTCTTCTCTAATTAAAGCAAAGTATGACCACTCTAGCCTTACATTCTTCACAGTGGAAGCTCTACCGTCAACGACGTCGTTTCGAAACCTTTTCCCGCTCCCGGACGCCTCCTCGGGCTTCAGAAACCCGGGTTTCCCCTGCTCCAAGCTCAACCCTAGCGGAAACACCGATCCAGGAAACCCAACGCCGCCGCCGCCCACGCCTGGCATGTGGCCGGAACCGTCGCCGGAGCTGAGCTGCAGCATCATCGCACCGGGCGGCGCTCCGGCCAAGCCGCCGCCGTCGCCTCCCGATAAGTTGTTATCGGCGGAGGCGAAAGAGGGGAAGCCGAGAATTTGCTCGAGGAAATCGTCGGCCGGAGTTTCGGAAGGGTTGTTGGCCATGGGAGCGGAGAAGGCGAGTCGAGTTGAGGAGTTATGGGGGTTTCAAAGAGCATCTACTTCTACATGCAAGAGGGAAGGAGGAGAGAGAAATCCGAGTTGAGTTGAGTTGAGTTTTGCTTTGCTTTGCTTCTTCTTTGCTTTTGGGTTTTTTTTTTTTTTGGTTCTTTTTTCCTTTGTTTCTTTTCTCTCTTTTTACTCGCAAAGTACTGAGCGGACTGACGATCTGAGACGGAAAAGGGGAGGTGGCTTTATCCTGGTTAAAAATGTTTCTCCTCTGCAAAAAGGGGCTGTATTTGGGAAGAATTACATGTCCATGCCATTTTCTCTTTCATAGCATTAACGTCCTTTTTTTTTTTACCAGTTGACCTTAGCATTTTTTTTTTTCCTTTCGTTAATAGGGAACTTCAGCATGTTAACGGTACGCTATAGTGTCCAGGGCCAAAACGAAAATAAAAATAAAATGATGTTTAGTTTAAGAATTTAAATTATGATTTGAATCATAATTTATAATTTATTAGAATATTTTTTTTTATAAAAAATACATATAAATTAAAAATAATTTTAATCACATGATTTTAATCTATAAACTAAACGTCTAATAAGTAAATAAGTGCCGCCAACTCTGTTGGTGACTTGGTGTTATGTTTTTTTTTTTAAATAAAAATTGAATGCGAACTACTGAAGGCCGCCGTTAGAACTTCCAGCTGTGTTAATGACTTACATGATGCTTATTTTTTGTTTTTGTCTATGATTTTAAATTGTAATTTATAATTTTTTATAATAAATTTTTCTCATAAAAAACACACATAAAATAAAAATAATTTTGAATTATAATTTTAAATTTATGAACTAAATGGTCATTTAATATGGTCAAGACTTCTTTTTTGTTTTTTGGTTCACTCAAAAAAGGATAAATTACACTTTTTTTTTTGAATTATAAACTTTGTCACAAAAAATCACTTGAATTTTAATTTTTTTCTCAAATTTTAGTAACTCTTGTAAAAAAAAATTCTCTGTTAAATTCTTACTTTTGTTATTGTTGTTGGTCACCATTAATGAACATCAAATATTTCTTAAATCAAGTAAATTAAGAGAAAATTGATGTAGTAAAAAAATGACAATTCTTATTACGTAATTGTACTTTTGTGTGACTAAACGAAGAGGAGTTAACGGTAATTTTGTACTAAAAATAGTTTGACGACACTCATTATTTATGTGATATGTGTTATTTCTGTTAAAAATCTTAACATAAAGAGTTTTTTTTTTTGTTAATTTTTACATTGCACGTGAAATTTTCTGTTTAAAATTTAGTTTAGAGAGCGGGGAGAGAGAAAAATTAAAATTAAAGTTCATAACCATTTGTGATAAGGCCTATAATTTAAAGAAAAGCGTGTAATTGTCTAAATAAAAATTACATATCGTTCAATTTGCAATGATTTATTTTTTTTAAGTTCATTTTTACAAGGTTACATGGTGGGTGAATTAGAGAAACTCTAAAGAATTGGTTTCCCAAGTCCCAACATACCACTTTTTTGAAAATATACGAATTGATTTACATTAAAAAAATAATGTAGATGAACTAGAGTAATAACACTTTCAAATAGTTAGTATTGGAATATACAATTTTTAGTTTAAAAATACCATGTTTAATTTATATATATATATATATATAAGTGGTACGAGTGAATAATTATATTTTAAAAGTGATGCCCCACCTAATTTATATGTAAATTGCTGGACTTATGAGTAGTATTGGGCTCAATTTACTCTTACATGACATATCTTGAGGATAATACAAGTGAATAACTGACTTTATAAAGTGAATTAAGGGCCCGTTCAGTTCGCTGATTTGAGTTTTTAATTCAAGTTGAGATGTGATTTTATGTGAGAGCTTTTTACTGTAGTAAAAAAGTTAGATGTGACTGTTTGTGAGAACTTTTTACTGTAGCAAAACTTGAATTATAAACTCGAGTCAGCGAAATGAACGAGGCCTAAAAGATTAACACTTGCAGATAATTAATATTCAAAAATTATACTCGTGTGGAAAGGTTTGAGCCTGATTTACACATAAATAGAGTTAGTTCCAATTTAAACACACTCCAACAGAAAGATAATGTAAAATTGATGCAACCATTCCTCTAAAAAGTGGTATCACAACTTAAATATTACCAAATTAAGACTCGTATTTCGAGCAGTCTCTTATGAATTTGTAGTCGTACACAAAAGACATGTTCATGCATTTCATCAAGCCAAAAGCCATGTACCTATCACCAAGTGCAAGTATGCTCACGCATCATTCTCCTTCATTTAGAAAGGAATGCTAACTTAAAATTGTAACCTCTTACTCTAATATCAATTGGTACAAGAGATGATACAACAATTCAATTCAAAAGTTGCAACTTATAAGAGAGATTCAATCAAACCCATTAAATAACACTTAAACTATACTTAGAAATTCACCCCAAGCACTACTTATTTAGGTCCCTTGTGAATTCATGAACGTACTAAACGGGTTTAAGCACTTGTTTCAATACCCAAACCACACAAGTCCACCCAAATTCAAGTAAGCTTTTGGTTTTAATCTTTAGAGAATTGGTATTCGAATATACCATTTTGTGAAAATATTTGAACCTAATTTATTAAAAAAAAAAAAAAAACACACGGATGAATATATAGGGTCCGTTTAGTTCGTTGATTCGAGTTTTTAATTCAAGTTGAGATGTGATTTTATGTGAGAGCTTTTTACTGTAGCAAAAAAGTTAGATGTGACTGTTTGTGAGAACTTTTTACTGTAACAAAACTCGAATTCTAAACTCGAATCAACGAAATGAACGGGGCCTTAGACTTATAAATAAGTAATATATAGCTTAATTTTCACCACAAAAGAACTAGGCCGGAAAATCTAACTCCAACCTTGAAGTAACATATTTCCTGGTCATCTATATATACACGACCCAATAACCGGTAAATGTTTGTATTTTTTGTTTTGTTTTGTGTTGTTTTATTGTTGTTTTTTTTTTTTTTTTTGTTTCCTTTCTTTGGACAATATATAGAGTCAGTGTCATGGTTAGAAACAGGATTAGGAAGAAAATGAGGAGTTTTCTTCCAATAGTTTTTTTTTTTTTTTTTTTTAATTCCTGTTTTGTGTTGGTTGTTTTGTGTGAGTGAAATAAAATAAAATAAAATAACTGGTATTTTCTGGTGCAATCAACAACCATGATTCATTTCAAGTCAGGAGCGGAGCCACTTTAGACCTGGGGGCAACTGGTCCTAACCCAAAAAGGCTTCGTTAAACTTTTATTAATTTCACAATTTTTCTTCTAGATTGTGCACGTGAAATAAACATATATTTGTATATATATATATATATATATAATAGTGTAAATGCATTATAAGAACTATAAACTTTTTTAATATTTGTAGTTCTAATTTTTTGATTATACCTTAATTTTTAATTTTCAACTATGCTCATATTTGAATCTAAACCTAAATAAAGGAAAAATGAAGTATACTCTATACTGCTATAAATTTCATAATTAGGTAGAGTTTAAATTTTAAAAAGTGAAATAAACCTAATTGTATGTTTGGCTCACTTGAAATAAGAAAGACACTATGAATAGATAAAGAATGTTACAAGAGAGACATAGATCCTTTTTTTTTTTTTTCATTTTTTTAAGAAATAGTCACACGGTTATTTTAGTGCAAAATTTAATTTAATTCATACGGCTGAAAATTTATTTATAAAAAAACTTACCAGCATTGTTGATATTCTTTTGGAGTGTAACTTGAGTGTAGTTTTTGAGTTATAACTTGAGTTGAAGTTAGAACTTGAATAAAGTTGAGTAAAATTGAATAAAGTTAAAACTTAAAAAAACGTGAACTTTAATAAAGTTGAAACTTAAATTGTTTTTTTTTTTTTGAGTTTTTTAGACAAAAGAACATGCCCGATTTTTCCAAAACAAGAAACGGATTTTATTTATGTATATAACGTGGGTATCCAAGTCTAAAATCTAAGGGAAAAAAGGTTTGTTGCTACTTGCTATATTTTTTCATTCGAAAAAATATATATAAAAGAAAAGACAATACAAAAACTTATTCACACTAATCCACACACAACTTCATAGATATCTATTGTTGCTAATACTTTCTTTGAGGAAATAAGTTTGGCGTATCCAAAGTGTTTATTCACTTACCTTAAAAAAAAAAGATAAATATAATATGATATCAAGATAATTATCATACAATCATTTTTGGCAATTTTAGACATGGGGTCGCTCAATCATAAGAAGGAATCTTCCAAAATTACACAGTTATTTTTTTGAAAGGGAAAATTATACAGTTAATGAAAATCCACATTTGACCTGAAGAAGCAGCCAAATTAATGATTGTCCTTGTTCTAATGGATTATCATATCCTCTCTGATTCTTTATAAAGAAGATAAAATAGATGAATTCAATGTATTTTCCATGGATAAGGACAAGGATCCATGACAATTACTCCAATATTCTGTAGGAAATTTTGTAGTAAATTAATTTGTCATTTATAAATTCATGAATTTATTTACATAGAAATAAAGATTAGTAATTATCTTAAGATCCTTAACATTATCCATACCATATTAGATGAGTTTTGCAAATAAAAGTAGAGGAATTTCAAGTATTAGGGGAGTATTATAGAAGCATTTATCAAATTTTCTGTGAAATTATTTTCAGCAGATTCTCTTATTTTTTAGGGGGCATAATTACCGTAATTGCCCTCTCTTATTTTCTTCCCGACAAGAATAAAAACTCTGTCCTTTCAAACACCTGACGATTTAAGGAAAATAAAGTACGAAAAGAGTCATTCGAAACAACGGCTCAGATAACCGTATTACTACAGAATCTCTCTCCCCCCTTCGATCGAAAAGCCCTACGAGTCTGACTTCTTTGCAGTGAAGCGAACACACAGGAGCTAAAAATGGCCGTCGCTCTGAAATCCAGTGGCTTCCTCCACTTGAACAATCCTCGGAACCGCGTTTTCCTTCCTCGTACTCCTTCCCAGCTTCAAACTTCTTCTTCGTATTCTTCTTCAGTGAAGAGGTTTTCTCCAATGGCGGCTCTCACCACCGCCCCCACCGTCGGACTCTCCGAAACCTTCACGAGGTTGAAGGAACAGGGCAAGGTGTGCACTTCATATGTTCTTCATCTTCCAATCCGTGTATTTGTTTGGTGCATTGTTCTTATGTTCTATCGATTTGTCGCGCTTGTTCGATTTTGCTTTTTGTTGATTTTATAGATTTGTAGATACTCTGTTGTTTTGTTGAATTTGCACGCCAACTGGTCGATGAAATTCCCCAATCAAGTGTGATTGTGGAGAGTTGTATGATTTCTTATTAATTGATGTAGCCATATTTCTCGTCTTGGTTTGAAAACCAAGCAATTGGGCTGTGAAGTACCAAGAGAAGTTGACCGTTAGCAATACCTACAGGCTAAAACCAGATTCTGAAATCCGAAATCCCATTTGGTTTCCAAATGCATGTTTATTTTCATTAAACCCCAAGACAAAGTTCTATATTAAAGCAAAGTTTTCGAACATGTTAAATTTATTGGTGTCTAGTTTTAATGAGTTGGGATACTAATCTTGTAATAGTTGATTTTAGACAAAAAATGGTTTCTTTATCAGATAATTTATTTTATTATATTAAGAACTCTCTATGTGAAGGTGGCATTTATACCATATATCACTGCTGGAGATCCTGATTTGTCCACCACGGCGCAAGCACTGAAGGTGCTCGATTCTTGTGGATCGGATATAATTGAGTTAGGTGTCCCCTACTCTGATCCTTTGGCAGATGGTCCTGTTATACAGGTTAGACAGTGAAACAAGTTGTTTTAATTTTTTTTTTTTTTTTTTTTTGTTCGTTTCATTTCAGTTCTCTTACTAATCTCTCATTTTGTTAAGGCTGCAGCGACGCGTTCCTTGGCAAGAGGGACCAATTTTGATGGAATTATATCAATGTTGAAGGAGGTATGCTCATTACTTGCTACATTTTCTCTGCTATGTACTGCAATACAGAACAGTCTTTGAGAAATATATCTATATTTACTATACTCAACAAAATCAGCACATTCGTCCATGATAATTGATATCTTCATGTTTCTCTGTCTTCAATGGAGCATTTCATACATGCATGGTTATTATAAGGGGAAATCATATTACGTATTACCGATGTTGGTTTTGTTGATTGAACAGGTGGTTCCGCAATTATCTTGTCCGATTGCTTTATTCTCGTACTACAACCCTATTCTGAAGCGTGGTACTGAAAAGTTCATGTCTACAATAAAAGATGTTGGCGTACATGGTAATGTATATCTATTACTTGTACCAAATCGTTTGATAGATTTTATAAAAATAAGGTTGGACATTACAATTACAGAAATGCTAGATGTGTAGCCTATGTGGAATCCTTTTATGATGTAAATAAATGCGAGGATCAGCTTCTTTGAGGGCTGGCTTTACAATCTGATAATGAGTTGGAAATGTAACTGATAACACTGAAGGGGTTGATGTGGGATTCTGGGATGTTAAAGTCGCTATTAACGTTCCGTTCTAAATTCTCGAAAGTGAAGAAAATATAAGCATTGGTATGTAGCTTGGATTTTTTTTTTTTCCTTTCAGCTGACACCTCTTTCTGATGCACTTTCGTAAGTATATACAATCTCAAGTTTTTATTTTACCTACTTTCTTATCTCTTTGAAAACTCTAATATTTTGTATAATCTTATCAGAGATCTAATTGCATTGCATGCTATATCATATTTGTTTGTAGGGCTTGTGGTCCCAGATGTTCCTTTAGAAGAAACTGAGATTTTGAGAAAGGAAGCTGCAAAAAAGAGCATTGAACTGGTTCATCTCTTCTTGGCGTTTTTATTTTCTCATTCTTGTTGTGGATCTGGACAGCATTGAACTTTAAATATGCCACGTTTATGTACGGCGTTTTAATTCCAATACGTTTTTTCTTCCTTTGTTGTTATGGTTTGAAGGTGTTGCTTACGACACCTACTACTCCGACAGAGAGAATGAAAGCCATTGTGGAAGCTGCAGAAGGATTCGTATACCTGGTAAGTTTGTGGTTGCTTGTGAATATATTAGTTTCAAAATTAAAAATATATCGCTGGTCTTTGAAAAGTGTGTTCATTGTTTTGAATTGTAGGTGAGTTCAGTTGGGGTTACTGGTACCCGTGAATCTGTGAGCGGACGAGTAGAGGATCTTTTAAGGGAAATTAAAGAGGTTGGTCTTATCAGCTTCAATTCCAAATAGTTTTGTATAATTATAGTCTTGTAACATAAGGGGTTCAGATATTATGTAATCGTCATCATGTTTCAAATGACAGGCAACAACTAAGCCTGTAGCCGTCGGTTTTGGCATATCAAAGCCTGAGCATGCGAAACAGGTCAGTTATAACCCAAATGCCCATATATGGTTTCCTATGCCTAAAAGACGCCTGTTTTGACTTTATTTTGGTGGCTGTTAACAGGTGGCCAGGTGGGGAGCTGATGGTGTGATCATCGGCAGTGCCATAGTGAAGCTGCTCGGCGAAGCCAAATCTCCCGAGGAAGGGTTGAAGGAGCTCGAAAACTTTGTCAAATCTTTAAAATCTGCTCTTGTTTGAATCAAACAGTTTGGTAGTATGTCAATCAAATTCAGAAGTGAACCCATAAAATTTTGAACCTATTATGTAATTTGGCATTGGAATAAAACAAGCTTGTCACCCTTATAAAGAATAGGCAATTAGTTCAACTCTCGCTCAATCGATCTTTTCAACTTCGTCAACTATGCATATATATATCCTAGTCCTTCCACCCTCACGTGAAAATGCTTATGAGTATAAGAAGACAATACTGCTCAGCCCGAGGCGAGAAAAGTCAATCTACTAAACGCTTTGGAAAGGGAAAGCAACAAAAATATCTCTTTAGTGTTTGTACTTGAGCGTGGCAACAAAGAATAAAGGTCAAAAAGTGACCCAAAAAGAGATGCCATTTTCTTGGTCTCTATTCTTCAATGTCTCAGTCTTCTCTTGATCACAAATTTTATAACAAAAGCTAAAGCCAAAAGTTATCAACAATACAATAAAGAACATATAATGTTTCCCTATTCTTATTCGCAAAGACAAGCACAGCATAGACTTCCACAGTACAAATGGGAGCTGGAATTCATCAATAGGATTATGACAAAGGAACTATGAATTACAAACGACTCGTCAATATACATAAAAGATAGGAAAGTGATCAAACTACTTAGCGTCGGTCAGATGCGACTGATTCAGCTGAGAAGAGATACTTAACTCGCGAAAGAACTGAATCATGAGCAGGATCATAAGGATGGTCCTTTGAGGGAATCTCCAGAATTGCAGGGACAGGCTTGTTGTAGCTATCAACCAAGAACCTTACCATATTTGCAACCCGAATAGCGAAGAAACGAGAGTCGTGTCTTAATTCATAATATCAAATCATGAAAAGCGCTTTAAAATGCGCGAGAAAGCATAAGAAATTGTTCAAATGAGCTTACATATTGGCTAATCAGCACTATTGCTAAATCCTCCCTCGTTGTAAATTCCTTAAATGCATCTTCAATTTGTTTTACAGTGGTTTCTAAGAAATAGAAGTAAATTTGCTGCATGAGAAAGTGATACAGGGAATGAAAAAGACCAAGTGATTTTTGCAAGGTCAAAGAGCATACTTGAGTCTACAATAAGGTAATTTGTCTTTCTCCGCAAGTCAACATTACCCACCCCAGCCAGCAGAAATCCGACAATAGTGTCCTATACCAGAAGGAAAACCCATCAGTAGCCCATATTCATAAATCCCAGAACACTAATCATCTATTTTGTGACATCAACAGACAGTTACACATGATGTGTATTTCCTGAGATCAGATTCGAGGAAAAACAAAATTAAGATATGAAGAAGAATAGTATATGTGACATTTAGCAAAGTGTATTTTCATCATCATCATCAAATCACATTCCCGATACTATCGGGGTCGGGTTACACGGATTCCAATTCTCCAAGCAATGCGGTCTTCCAGCAAAGTGTATTTTACATAAGCATAATTCACGTTACACTTATTTGTGAATGCGTGCAAGCTTGACATGAAGGTTTAGGGCCTATTTCCTGTTATCATCATATTTTCATGTAAATTAGGCTTAGTACCAGTAATGAAGTTTAGGTATTCATCCTTACCACTTTTATGTGTAAGTCACAAAGAGGTATATTTGAATATCAATTCTTTAAAAGTGGTACTCCTCTTATTCACCCATATTCTCACCTCATCAGCAATCATGGAAATTAGTGCCGAGTTACTAGTAGGAATTTGCGCCCTGTTGGCCATATTTGATGAATTTCAAACCTACAATAAGAACAAGTCATACAAGTTTCAGATATTTATGCATTAAACGAATCGCTAAGTCACAAAGAAACCAATGCATTTAAAAAAACAAAAAAACAAAAAAAAACAAAACAAAAATAGAAACCAATTCATATTGATGGACATAAGGTGAAAGCAGTCAAGGTCATGATCTGATCCTTTCCTTAGAAAAGAATAGAGGCAACTCAGGCATTCTCCAAAGTTCTCAACTCATGCCCAACAAACTCAGTCATTTTCTCTCATGTACCAAACTAAAGTTTGTTCCGATTCCTTCTATACACGATGGACACGGGATAGCAAAAGAACTAATGTTGGTCCCAAAACATCACATGACAATAACTTCGAGAGAAAGTACTCCTCGCAATTCGTTTAAAAGCAGCCATTTCACATCACGCCATTGATTCAGAGATTTCCCATACATATTTTCATCATTTCCCATCAATCAAAGAAAGATATTTGGTAACAAGTCACCTTCTTTACAATTCATCACTTATCTTCATTTATTTATTCATTTTCCATTTCCTAGTCCTCATCACGCTCTATATATCCCACATATGCGAAGCAAAACGTTAAAAATATCAATCGGAAACAAATCAAGGGGATTTCAACGTAAAATTAACCAAAAACACAATTCCTTAACATCATAAAGTTGTAGAAAAGCAACTCTGATTCTAATATATTTTATGAAAAGTAACGCAGAGAAAAAGAATTCGTATTTGTACGGATGGGAGGGATTTGGGTACCTTCTGATTCAAGCTTTTATACTTTCCGAGAGAGAATCGGCGAGTTAAACTCTACTGTTGATCCGATCCACGACTAAGAAACATATACTGGTAAATACTAGAAAGCGCCAGTTTCCCAGTTTGATTGAAACGCTGTCGTTTCGCTTCTAATCTACGGCCCATGAGTCTCGAGGCCCAGTAAAGTTGGATTGAACCAAGGCCCAAAAGAAAACATCCACGTGTTGACAGTTGAGGACAGATTTTTAAGAATCTGGAAGATAATCAATCGTCTACAAATCATAGAGGTGGACCCCACTTATGGCCTTTTCTTTACCCTTTTACCTTTTCTTTATTAATTCTAGAATGATCAAAGATCACACGAAATAATTTTAATTTATGTATTCAGAATTATAATTTAAAATTATTTTTATTATATGTATATTTTTTATGAGAAAAAATATTATAAAAAATTATAAATTATAATTCAGAATCAGAGAAAAATATACGAAACAAATGTCAATCTGCGGTGCCACGTAGCAGTGCGGCTTAGAAGAGACGTGGTCAAAAGCGGTAAAGTCAAAGATCATTCGTGGTTCGGAGCACACTGGATCAGATCTCGGACAAAGACAGACCAGGTGGTCCCCATATAAAAATGTCTAAGCGAACACGTACTGAGAAAGAATCGCAGACAAAATTCGCACCCCGAAAAGAAAAAGGCCAAAAAAAAAAAGAAAAACAGAGAGAGAAATAGGGCCGATGAATTCAGTCTTCTCCGTGGACGAGATCTCCGACGGCCTCTGGTCGTCGTCGCCGGCGATGAATCGGAGCGCCTCGGAGTGGGCACTCGAGCGGTTTCTGGAGGAGTTTTCTTCCCCGGTGACGACTCCTCGGCCTCCGATCGCAGATTCCTTGGCTGTGCCCTCCGTCGCTTCCCCTTCCGTCGCTTCTCAATCGTCCACCTCGAAGCGCCACGACGGCGACGACGAGGTCGTCGAAATCAAGAAGCCTGACAACCGCCACGCCTCGTCGTCGGATCCTTCTTCAACGGCTGTGATTGATTCCGATCAGTATCGCGAATTCCTGAAAAACCAGCTCGATTTGGCTTGCGCCGCCGTTGCTCTCACACGCGTATAAATCTTTCGCTCTTTCTTGTCGAACGTTCAAATCGCGATGATAGCTGATCAAAGGAATTTGTTTTGGCAGGAGGCGTTGTCTGCGAAGCCTGGCGATTCTGCTAATGCATCTCGGAGTCAATTGCAGGTGTCGATACCTTCTCAATCGGGATCCGTGGCTCTTGATAAAGGTTCGTTTTTCAACCATTGGCTTTTCATATTGCTAAATCGATGAAAAACAATATAGATGGGAAGATATATATATTCCTGTTTGGTCTTCCATTGTAATGCTGCATTGTGAATTTTGAAGGTTTTGAGAAATTGTTACTTTATTTGTAAAGTTGTGGTGGTTTACTGTGAATCTTTAGTTGTCTTCTCATAGGGGTAAGTGATTTGTGCCCTGTCAAGTTTAATTTCATCACTTAAAACATATGAGGACACAGAAAATTCTTTTATGTCTCTTGCGGCTGATTTATAATTTTTTTTTTTAATTCCATTTTCTGGGATTAACGAGCAATATTTTCAATATTCCATTAACTACGTATCCTGGTTTGTCTGATACTCTCAGATCATTTGTTAGTCGTGAAACTGTCATTTTATATAAGTAGTTATTTAGGTTACGTTCGAACTATTAGTTAAGAACAACTAATTTCTTTTTCTTATTCTTACATTGCATATCAAATTTTCAGTTACTGAGTGAGTCTTGGTGATATATAAAATTTACATGGATGAGAAATCTGACTTCTAGTCTCTTAGGTATGCTTAATGGTCGCTCAATGCCACAAAATGAGTCTGATGATGGACCACTTGGCATTCCGGCATTACCTCCTATACAGAAGAAAATGGAAACCCAAAGTAAGCAAACAACCAGTGGATCATCAAAAGAGGATTCAGATGATGATGAGCTTGATGGGGACATGGAAATCACGGAGAATATGGATCCCTCTGATGTAAAACGTGCTAGGAGGTAAGGAAATATTTGTGTTTTTTGTGTTTAACGTCTGTTTACTGTTCTTTTCCCGTACCATTTTATCTACTCTGCATTTTATGTTGGAAATAAACTGATATTATCAGATGCTAAGGTTTAAGTGGCGGAATGGGTTTTATATTCACACACAAAAAAAAAAAAAAAAAAAAAAAAAAAAAAAAGAGAGAGAGAAAAGTGACAGAATGGGTTCTCTTAATCGGCGACTGAGCCTTAAGTGCCAATGTTGAATGTCTTGCCGTATTGTATTTCTATTATTTTTGTCGGATAACAAAGTTTAATGCCCTTGAAAACAGCCATTTATAACGTTTCTGTTTTAGAAAGAATTCTTTTCCCCAAAATAGAAACTTTATCATAATACCTAAAGCTCAATCCTGTTTATTTATATTTTGATTTGAATTTGAAACAAAAATGGTAATAAATGGTTTCTTTTATTGCTGTCTAATAATAAACCAGTACAAAGTAAGCAGTCTTGACTCAACTAATCAGCCCACAATTCTAGGGAATTACAAACAAATCAGGAAACCAATGGGTCAACTAATCAGCATACGATTCTAGGGAATTGCAAATCTTGAAGGTAATTACGACTCACGAGTCTTCCTTGTCAATACAAAGAACCAAAAATGAGAAATGAAGAAATTAATATATACAAGGAAATAAAGAGAAAAATGAAAATAGGGAAGTATTCTCTAGTGAACGAGGATCTCTCTCTAAATTTCCTGATTTAGCATATTTCTGGAAACTAATTAGGAGGGTTCCTAGTCAATTATACAAAAAACCAAAAATAAAAAGAATAAAACTATTGGATAGGAGATAAATAGATAACCAGAAAATGATATGATGCAGGTAATCTCTAGTCAGAAGGATCTCTCATAAATTTCCTTATTTAATAGTGAACAAAAATTGTCATATCTCAGAAAAGTAAGTAGGAAATCAGTTCTCTCCGTATTAGTTATGGTTGGTAAACGATGGATTATCTAAACATCATAGCCTTTTACCTATTCATGCTTTTGTCTTCACCCAGGATGCTGTCTAATCGAGAGTCAGCTAGACGCTCAAGAAGAAGAAAACAAGCACAAATGAGTGAACTTGAGACACAGGTGTTGCTTCACATGATGTTTTGCATTATTAATCGTTTCCATTATTGATCATTGTTTTATGGATTAGTAAATAATATATGTGCGGGTGCTAATAGGTTGGTCAATTGAGGGTTGAGCACTCTACACTGTTAAAGCGTCTTAGTGACATGAATCACAAGTATGATAATGCTGCTGTTGACAACAGAATCTTAAAAGCTGATATTGAGACATTAAGAGCAAAGGTCAGCAATCCTTATATCTAATATGCATAATTTTTTGGTTCGTTATATTTTTTCCGTGATCAATTCACGCGTAGTTTCCCTTGAAGATTTTTTTGTCCATGGTCACTTGTTTAAAGAGGTTTAATTGCTCGACTACATAAAATTTGGTTGTAATCGGAGTATAGGATCGCTATAGAACTTGATTGTATGTACAGAATCTCTCTGATTTTTATGTTCTATATTTTATTTTGTCAGTGAGATTGTCCATTTCTCATGCTTATGCTTTCTGTATTCCAATTTTAGACTAGAGGCCTCCAGATATCGGTTGTCTTTTCATATGTATTTCGGCTGGGGAGGGTCATGATTGTAGATCTTATGATATATATAATGGTTTCGTACATAAGAACCTTAGTTTCGAAGGTGGTATTTTCTATTCATTGCCCATCATTCTTACATGTAATGTCTTGGATTAAGTTCAACTCTGACAGTTTGACATTTTTGCAATAATTCTCAGACGTCACACTCCTTACGTGATGAGTGCAAATTGTTTCCCAACAGACGTGATCCATACAATGATCGTTTGCTTAGTTCATCCCTTTTGTACTAATGGTGTTTGATCCGTTTGAAAATCTTCCAGGTTAAGATGGCTGAAGAGACAGTTAAGAGAGTGACAGGGATCAACCCTCTACTTCTAGCCGTTTCTAACCTCACTGCTGCTGGCGTTCCATCGGTTAATGTCCCGATGGATGCATCTACCAATGCTGCTGTCTCTATGCAGCAGAGCCCCAATCAGCTCTTTCACCAAGCAGTTCCTGGTATAACAACTGCCGTTCCGCATCATCAGAGATTGGATGGAAGTTTTCACGGTAGTACCTCAATTCCACTAGCAGGAAACCTGAAAAACGATGTTGCCCCACAGAGTGATGTTGGTGGAAACAAGTTGCCTTCGATTCATCCAACGGCAAGACTGGCAAACATGCAGAAGCAGCTTGCTCCGGGAGCCAGTCCGGGCGAGGCAGTACCTGGTTGGGGACCAGAAGTTGCCAAAAATAACAAGCAGAATCATAACAATATGTAATGCCTCGTATGCCCTCCTTATCATGGTGTTGTGGGGCGTTGCAATTTGTTAACGAAGCTAAAATAAGATACTGGTTCCGCATTATGTCTTATGTTTTTGTTGCGTCGTTCTAGTCCATTATTCGCAAAGTCGATTTAATTTGGTTCTCAAGTTGAGATAGGCTATGTTTACCATGAAAGTATTTTTATTTCCCCCATCCTGCGATCAAAAAAATTGCAGTGAATAAAGAAAGACTGCTAGATCCGTGATGCTTTATCATAATAGAACACGATTGCTGTCCTAAATAAAGGATGCTTTTAGAATTTGTTTTAAAATGATTTTATTTTTTGTACAAAACTAAAAATGAAAACGTTTTCAATTTCAGTTAAAAATTATTTTTAAAAATGCATTTAGTAATTTTATCAAGAGATTATTTTCAGTATAAAAAAATATTAAATCTATTAATGTCTCTCTCTCTTTAAGAGAGTAAAAAATGAAAATAAAAAATAAAAAATGATTAAAATTTATTTTTTATTTCTCTCTAATTTTACACTAAATTAAAAAATCGTTTTCATTTCTATTTTTTATCTTTAATTGTGCTAAATATCGTTTCTTTCCCGTTTTTATTTTTTCTTTTTAAAAAAACGTAAAAAATAAAAACACAAACAACTCCAAACACAATCAAAGTCTCTTATACTGAGATTCTTGTCATCATAAATCATCACAATTTGGCTAACTAGTTGCGAAACACTAATATAAATTTGGAACCAGCCTATTCTTGCAATTCTTATTTCCTTCATATAAAAAAAATAAAAAATAAAAAAACATCTCAATTGAAATTGACACGGAAAAATTGATGTTAGTTTACCAATCTTAAAATAATTTTATAATTTAACAGTTAATAACATTTTTAAGTTTGAAGTTAAAAGAGAAAGAAAAAGCAAAAAACAACAAAAAAATAAAAATAAAAAACAAAAAACAAATAATTGTTGTTTGTACTGTACATAGCAATACGGGGGGGTCAACAATCTGAATAGTGGAGGCTTTCAGCATCCTGACATTAGAAATAACCTCCGGATTGTTAATATACCCAACAAATAGTAAGTTGTTCAATTCACTGCGTCTGAATTTTTGCTCCAGCTTGGAGACCTGACTGAACTTTGCTTTGAAAATGACTTTCAAGCCTAAAGAGAGATGAAGTTAGAATATATGTTGAACAGGTTGGGGGGGGGGGGGGGAAGAAAAAAATAATAATAATAAAAAAAATAATAATCAGGACAAAAGCACCATACCTGGTCGAGCATTTATAATAGATGGTATCGGGAGAGTTGTAGGTGCGTGCATTTGAAAACATCCTCTTCACATCCGCTATAAACATCTCAAGCGTAACATAATACTGCTCAGATTCTACCCTCTTTGACAAAGTCCTCAGATCTGCAGTATTATTCATTATTCACAAGTATCACAAATTTACTTCATTAAGGAGAAGTTATACAACGCTATCACTTCGATAAATAACAATTCTTACCCATTGGATCTTTGATGATGTCATAATAATCGGGAACATCGCGTGCATCAACTGGTTCTTTAAATGGCCATGCATCAACGTGGTCATGCATCGACTGCTTGAAAACAAACAATAAAAGGAACAATCCAATAAGGACAAGCAAATCAAATGCTCTATTGAGAAATTCACAAACTCGACTCAACTATGAAACAGAAAAAAAGACGTATCAATGGAAACTACAATTATTCAGGCAACATCCATTAATTTGTCATTTATAGCGTACACACTGTTTAAAGGTACTTTATTAACATGTTCTGTGACATGAACATGAAATCAGTTGCTTGTCTAGTCTCCCCGCGCATAAATTAAATTAAGACAAAAGTCTACCCTGAAGACTTGCCTTTATAAGTGAGCGCATGAATGCAGTCAAATGCTTTTTACCACTTTCTGTAGCAGCACTATAAACGCCAGCCCGTGAATAGCCCCATTGGTCAGGTGTCCATCCAGCCTCTCCTATTAAAATCACGAGAAACTCCAATTAGTAATTAGACATGCCATGACACAAGAAAATGATGTCATTTCACCAAAATTATCAAACTGGAGTCTTAGGTCCAGTTTGGTAGTACTGTAGATTTTAAAAAAATTATTTTTAACTGTGCTAAAAGAAAAAGCAACTGTTACAAAAAACAGCTGAGTGCTTGGTAAACTGTAATTATACAAATGTTGCTAGTTCTACAAGCAGTGTCATAGCATTTGGTAAATTGTGAAGTTTAATTGTTGTGAGTAATTAAGATGACCATAATTAATAATCTTAAGTTAATATATAAAGTAATTAATAATTGATAATTATTTAGCAAATAAAATTTAATATATTAATAATATAATAATAATAGATAAATTATCATTAATGAGTAAATTAGTAATTAAACTATATATATAATAAATTAATATGCTAAATAATTCAAAATAATAATTAATAATTAATTATAAGTAATTACTATGTTAGTAATGTACTCATATTTATTCAATTATAAGTAATGAATTAGTGTATTAAGAAAAATAATTAGTTATATACATAATTTATTAATATTCCTTTCACTACTTAAATTATTAACTTTTAGTTACATAATTAAATAATTAGTTGATTAATTACTAATGTTTATTTAATAATCTATTATTTGATATATCACATGATCAATTTTTGGTAATTATTCTTTTTATAATGATTAATTACTAATTATCAATTATTAATTATTATTGATTAGTATATTACTTATTGATAAGTATAATTTAATATTAATTATTAATTGAGTAATTACTATTTATTTTTTATTTACCAACTATTTACTAATTAATATATTATAATTAACAT